TCCGATCAGGATTTTTGGAGCACATCAACGATCATTGATTACAGGAAGCAGTATCTGCCGTGCGATCACCGATACCGATCTATTTGAATCTCTTTTTCAGAAAAAAATATAATTATCTCAACTAAATGTTTGATCATGCAGTGCATTTTTGTTCTTACAATTGGGCAAATATTGCACAATAGAGTACACACAGCACAAGCCTGATTTCAAACTCTGAATTAAATTTAACACAAAAAAGACAAGCAAACAGTCAGAAATAAAATAAGAACAAATAAACAATTTACAAGCAGTAGCACAAATAATGAAAATAGAATAAAGAAAATAATAAATACTAAAGAAATTTAATAAGGAATCAAATGTAAAATAACACTAAATGGCCTTCCCAAAATAAATTAAATACAGATTAATCCTTACAATTAAGGTTACAAAAGTTATTCATTCAAGAGCAGTGAGTGTCATTAATGTTAATCAAACAACAAAAGACATGGTCAATAAATTATTTAAAAGTTTTGACAGTCTCCCATTCATAATCTAGAAAAATCTTTAGTCGAGGGCAGCCCTATTATGCTTCCTTACATTTCAGCAATCTTGTTAGTGTCACACTGCATTTCGCCCATTTCCCTGGGTATCCCTGTTTGCCTGTGTCTTGTGGTCCGTTCAAGTCCTCCATGGAAGTTCGTATTTACGAGGTGGAAAGCCGTGTTTATGACGGTAAAATGGCGGTGTACTTAAAGCTGCTGTAGGTAACTTTTGTAAAAAATATTTTTTACATATTTGTTAAAACTGTCATTATGTCCTGACAGTAGAATATGAGACAGATACTCTGTAAAAAAAATCAAGCTCTTCTGGCTCCTCCCAGTGGTCCTATTGCCATTTGCAAGAAATACACGCTCCCGGTCAGAAACAACCAATCAGAGCCAGGAGGAATGTCTTAGCAGTGTCAATCACGCTCGTGTACGCGCTGATCACACGACTCTCTTGCACAGCGCGAGCCGTCGTTCAAACTCAAGATTGCCGGCGTGCTGCAGCTGTGTTTATGACGGAGAAACAACCTAAACTGCCAATTCTCGAGTGACACCTGCTCATAAAACAAAGAGGTAAAAGGAAAAAGACCGGTGACGATAAACAAGCGAAAAAGAAAGAATTACACAGAGCCCATTGATTCGGTGTCAATTAACTCTAGCCGCATAACATGTAGATAAAATGTCACGCACTCTGCTAAGCAACAATTGAAACCTGCTAATTCACTGGCTTGTCATGTTGCTGAAATAAATGTACTAGCACACATTATATATCGCTAGAATAATTACTTACATACTGTAATGTTAGTTACCGTTATATTAACGTTATCTTACTAGCTATTTATAACTTATAGAAAGAGTGCAACGTTATAAAGTTACATGTATTGTAGAATACATAATGATTTGAGGACCAAGTTTGTAGTCAAAGTATTGGCAGGCCATAGTCAATGTAAAGCATATTGTTGACGTTTAGTCCCTATTAGTGAATGTGCCATATAACTTTTATCCGCTGTTTTCGGTGGCCCTGTTTACTAGCCTGCGCGTACACGACAGGCTCCGCTGTGGAGGACGAGCTGTGGAGGGAGGAGCTGTAGCGCAGCAGAGAGCAAGGGGGTGGGACTTGTAAGTTGTGCTTGTTCAAATTTTCAGGCTAAGTCAACGTTTTCTCAAAACTCCCTACTGCAGCTTTAATTAATTACACAAAAATAGAGCAAGGTTCTTAAACTCTACTTCTAGAAAATTAAGAACAAGGAATGTGCATCAGGTGTGTTTTGCTTTTTTATGTTTTGAATTAATTTATGAAGCCACTATAAACTTTATCGTTACATATATTATATTGTTATATTATAATAATGCTATCATATTTTGTGCAGGCAATTAGCTTACTTCACTGTAAATAGAAAAGCCTGACAATATCACTGCTAAATACCTTTAAATATTGTGGTATTCCAGCACATTTCCAACTCGTAAAGATTGGGTCTTAAAGAAAATCCCAAGCTTCCCACTCGTATTTACAACATTATGGTGGCGTTCATGTACACCATTGGATTCTGTTATTGTTTGTTTTGTTTTGCCTTGGTTTTGACCCTCTGCCCAACAGTATAAAAAGAATTAATGAGAAGCTGATTAGATAAAGAACTTCAAAACAGAGAATAAGAATACTCCATGTTATGCCAGAACCTTTCTTCCTGTCAAGCTAAAATGTACACCGTACTCCAGAGTCAACTCTACCTTATAACTTCAAACTCCACAATAACTTTTGGGTTAGTTTCTTACCCTGACTTTGCCACAAGAGAGGAAGCTGACATAAACTGGTCCAGGTGGTATTCCTGCATATATTTAATCTGGTCATGTACATGTTGAATTTATTTTATTTTTTCATTTTAAAAGTATATTATTTCTAGAAACAGCGAGTCCTGAGGGACACTGCAAATGCTAACTATCTCTCTGCTGCACCTCACTAACTCCCTCCACCATGTGTCCTCCCTGAAAGGCCTCCCACCTGCTAAAATAATTAATGTATGACAAATCACCACAGAAATGGCTTTTGTTCAGGCCCACTATCCATAATTCACGAAAAAAGCTCTTTCCAGCATGAGAAATGTGACATCTTGTCATAACAAAAGTTACAACCTCAACCTTAGACCTGAGTATCCTAGAAATCCCACAGAGTGCATTAGTCTTCAGACTTCAGAGTGGAAATGCACATGGCTACACCTGAAGTTTATTTCAGAACACATTTTACTATTATTCTTACAACTATTTTATCATTTTAAAAAGAAAATGATCGTTGCTAATCTCCAGGCCAGTGCCATCATCAGCGGGACAAGAGGAGCTCACTAATGTCCTCTATAGCAGTAGTTCTTAAAGATGAAGTATGTAAAATTTGTATGTTAAAATACATTATCTTAATCCAGATTATTGTTCATTGACAACCATTAGTATGCCATTCATGGGTTTATCTCAAACATTATGCCTTCCGGGAACCATCAAAACACTGAAAGCTGGCCTGCTCAACCTATAGAGGGTACAGTATGCGCGTAACGTTATCGTCGGCTGGAGAGACTGCGGTTAGGCCCACTAAGTGGCAAAAAGACTAAGCGGCAGCATTTGTTTTCAGCGTGAATGCCACAAAAAAACACAAAACACATCTAAAACGGGAAAGAGCTTTGCGATTTACTGTACAACTAGATTTAACAAGAAATCTGAGGTATATTTTTACAGACTGCCGAAAAATACAGAAAAGAGAAGCAAATGGATCGCTGCAATTCATAGAAACAATAGACTTCAGGCAGTGAAATGTGGATTTGCAGTTATCATTTTGTGTCAAACTCAATATGCTGAATTTAGAGGTAAAAGCATACCCTATATTGTATTGCTATATATTGTATTGACAAATAATCAACTAAATATTTACCATCGAATCACAAGTAATCACATGGATTTACACATTTCACCAAAAGCCCATTAAAAAACCCATTGACTTCAGGACGATGCAATCAGAAGTGCTAAAATGCTGACATGTTTCTGGGTTTTGGCCAACAAAAATTGTCATTCCTGCACTAACTCTATTAGACCATGGCTGATACGTTACATGGGAAAAGACATTCAGCTTCGGTTACAGAAGTGCAAGCCAAAATATGCTGCATTTAGACATTCATTAAACAGGTCAAAGGTAATTCTGCTAGGTGCCACTAGTGTTGCAGAAACTACATACTTCACCTTTAACCAGGGGGCCACAGGATGACTTAATGATTGAATTATATATTTTTTTAAACTTCACGGCCCGGTTTCACAGACAGGTCTTAGATTATCAGGATTAGGCCTTAGTGCAATTCTGACATTTAAGTAGCTTTTATAAACATGGCATAGAAAAAAATCTTGCATCTTGTGACAAAACAATAACACTGACATATTTTAAGATACATCAGTGCAAGTTGCTTTCAGTTAAAACAGCTCAAACATTAATTTTAGTCTGGGACTAAGCGTATGCCTTGTCTATAAAACTGGGGGCACAAGTTACAAATCAAGATGTAAATTGAAATCATATTTCTTTTTTTCCTCAAAAGCTTTGAAGAACATACTGAATTAGAATATTTAATCTTTTTTGAATTACAAAATTAACTGTGGTTAATTATTTTTAAAAGATATTAACACTCCCAGTTTCTGTTAATAAAAAAAACTTTGAAAACATAATTATTAGCAGAAATATCTTTGAATATCCTTCAAATATTGTGCAGGACAATGGGAGGCCTTCGGGTCAAAAAGGTTGAGAACCACTGCTCCTCACTGGACCCGGGCTAAAAAATATAATCTATAATTACATCTTCAGCAATCCATTGGCCATCATGATCATGATCATCTTCATCAATATAATAATTTCTTCTAATTCAGTGTGACATTAAAATCACTGTTGTGTTTTAACATCCATTTTGTAACAGTGTAACCATGTATGTAGCTTATCCTAATGTCCTTTTTATGTATATACTGTATGTCTATATGTGTGTATATATATGTATATTTGTATGTGTGCATGTTTGTATGTGTCCCCTTTTCCTTTCTTTTTTCTTATGTTCACATACTTTTCTTGTTAACTCGTATTCAAACAAAAAAATCCATTACTTCAACCTTCACCATCCTGTGGGTGTGGGTATATGGGGTCTTGTGTGTATGTTGTTCCTCACAAAAATGCTTATTTTGGCCTTCTTTGCTGAGTCAGAGTAAAATAATATGTCAGTTCAGCTCCAATGCCAAAACAATCATAATGCAAAATGAACACAATGTATCTCTAATCTTACAGTCAGCTGCGCTTGTGAAAGAAATAGGAACAGCTTGTAACTCTTTCCTGAGTGGACTACAACAGCAAACTGAAATCTATTCTACCAATTTACTAACTGCCTTAACAGGTTGTGTTGACAGATTTATGCTTGATTAATAGCCCACCATCTATTAAACAATCTGAGCAGCCTGTGGACTCACCATGTTCACTTCTGACACCATGTCGATACTAGAGATGTCAATACTCATACCAACATCAACCGGAGGACCTGCAAAGCAAACAGACACCACAATCTCTCTAACAAGGTCAATGATCCATCCATCAAATTGGTCACATTCAAAAAAAGTGTTTTAAATTAATATAAGGTCTTTACCTCCGAAGTCAGGCCTGAGACGGATGTCGTAGCCTTTGAGAAGTTTATCCACGGTGACTTTGACGTATGACATGTTGCTCTGTTCATTCACACTGGGGAAGAGTAGTTTAAGAAACTGTGACTCAACTGTGCGGAAAGAAACCAGCTTAAGCCTAAAATCTGGTCTTGTAGCATAGCAAAGCTGGTTTTAACTGCCTAGCCTGGGCGACCTGGTCTTAGCTGGTCTACCAGTCTGGCCCAGCTGCTCTAGATAGTCCCTCAGGCTTTCCAAGCAAGTGAAACTGGTTTTCATCCTCCTGGCCATCTGAAAGTGCCCAAAACCACGCTAAAACCAGCCAACAGGCAGAGAGACCAGCAAACCATCTTAGGCTGGTTTAACATGGCTCTGCAGGGAATGCAGTCAGACTGATCATACAGATATACACAAGCACGTTATGTCTTACCTGTTCGCTGGCGGGCTACGGCCAAGCGTCAAAGCCACGAGCATGAAGAGACACAAGATCCCCGCGCGCCAGTGATCCCGAGCGATCAGCATCTCTCTAATCGACCGATTTGCAATATCCCAAACTTAGTCTGAAGAAGCGCTCCAGCGATTTCAACTACACAGCAACGCATGCGCTACGATGAGACCAACATTAAAATAGATACCACAAACGCAAAGAAATGAACAACTCTAACGAAATCCAAAGTGGCGCTTGGTGTTCTTGCGGCTGTCGCGCTCCCCGGTGCTGACGCTGCTGTCGGAGCGTATCAGTATGCCGGTCAGATCCCATCGCCAGCGGGTCACTGGACACGACAGCTCATGGCACAGAAGCTTGAACGTACAGTCGCGTTTAGATTATGCGCCTATCCCTTCCGTGCATCTAAAATTATTCATTCAATCCGAGGAGCAGCCAGAGCTGACGTGTGCAGTAGTGTGCACCTGAACGCGCGCGCCGGCTCAAGAGCTCTTTCGCGCCATCTTTCAATTTGCTGTGCATCACGCGCCCGAGACAGAGTGAATTATTTGTTGGAAACTCGGAAAACGCATTAAAACAGCGGGCACCGCGAAAAATGCATTAATATCTGGAGACTGTGGAATAATTAATGTGTCGGCCGGGAAGGACTGGCGTTACCGCTGGCGCTGATGTGAGGAGAACAGTCGACGTGTGTTTAAAGTAGGCTATAGCGATTCTGTTCAAACAGCCAAGTCAAACTAACTAATAATTTAGACGGTATTTTCTATAAGCTATAGTCGTTATCTGTTATAAACGGAGAGAAGGAACCTAAATTGCTAAGTTATTAAATAATAAAGGTAGATATGCCTACAGCATAGAAAGAAAAAAAAAGGAATAGGCGAGACAGTGTTGTCAGTAACAATGTCACAGTAACTGCCTTCTAGCCTGGGCGACCTGGTCTTAGCTGGTCTACCAGTGTGGCCCAGCTGCTCTAGATAGTCCCTCAGGCTTGCCAAGCAAGTGAAACTGGTTTTCATCCTCCTGACCATCTGAAAGTGCCCAAAACCGCGCTAAAACCAGCCAACAGGCAGGGAGACAACCAGTCTAGACCCTTCACAGTTGTAACCTCAAATCTCAAATTTGCCGGAAGTTCGTCTGTTTTTTCCCCAAGCTAGGTAAATTCAATTTACAAGCAAACTTGTTTTCTCTAGCAATGGAATGTTGTTTACATAGTTTTCAAACACTAGTTTAAAACTAAATAAGTGGTTTGGTTATTTTAGGTAGCCTAGTTTCATTTTCTATTCTTTAAAAATATAGGCCTAGGCTATATGTGAAATCGTCTAGGCCTACTGTGGTGGATTCCAATTGAAGTGTTTGCAATGCAGTGCTACATTGGGACCAATAACTTAAGCTTTTTGTTTCGTATTAAGCTTTGTTTGTTATTTCACATCTTTAAACAGACTAACAATAACATAGAATAAGAAAAACTAAAGAAATATTAAACTCACTCTCATGGTGATTTCTATTTTACTGTAGCCTATTTAAATTGTGTGGATTCTATCTCATTCATACATTTTCATATGATCTGCTTGTGTCCCACTGAGGGTTAAGTTTAGGTTTGGACCTTCATGCTTTTAAATCAAAACCGAAATCGCCAATTTGTAAAATAGTCTATTATACAGTATATTTTCTATGATACAACAGGGAGAGTTTACCTCTAGCAGATAAATTTTCAGTCGAAAGTGTCTGCTAAACTACTATATAAATAACTACTGCTATCAAGTCGTCTTTGCCTGACAGGAACTAAACTGCATGTCAGGGCCGGTGGGAAGAAGATTTATTGTTTAATAGAGCAAAGTGAGTTTTAGACACGATGGCAGGCTGCTTTCTTCCCCTCTGGACGTTAAGTGTTATGCCTGGATGCTCAGCCATATGTATAGGCTTTGTAAAGAGCCCTCAAAATAATAATAATAATACGTTTTGAGCTGACCTGAGATATCATGAAGAAGAGGGTTGGTAGGAAAGTAGGTTTTGGTGATTTTTAAATCCTCAAGTGCACAAAGTCCAAGCCTGGTGGGAAATTAGGTCTTGGAACAGCAGAAGGATCTGTGTAAGGGCACTGGAGTGAACAGTGCAGATAAGGAGCTCAGTTGAGCAGCTAGAACAAAATATTCAATATTTCAAAGCAATGCAGACTTAAAAGTAAAAAGACGTGGAATGATTAAGAGAAATGCTGACAGAATGTGATGCCAGAATTCGTTGTGGCTTTGAAACTTTAGTTTCCCATTCAGTTATATTAATAATTTTTTATATTCTTTGCAATTCATTACACTTCTTTCAGTGATTTTAAAGACATTTAATTAGAGTATTTTGTAGGATTGCTCTTGGATGTCAAAATTTGATCTTGAAGCAAAACCGGTTGATAACCAGAGTAACCTGAGGTTAAAGTCGACATGAAATGGAAAATTACCTGTCTATTTTCTAAATGCATTTTATTGATCTTACTGTGAACGATTCATCCATATGTTTTTTTTATTGATATATTTCTTTTTTTGAGTTCATAATTTTTAATCAAAATATCATAACTTGATCTTCTTCTGACTTCTCTTTGGTAACTGAACAGCCACACCAATTTGATAACATGCTCACACGTACTGTGTAGACTAGACATTGCATCAACCCAAACTAGAGCAAAGAATCAATACTGAATCACATTCACCTTCTATTCCTCACAGCGTGTGTCCATCAAGCCTTATTGAGAAGTGGCTCTCTGGGAAAACCACAGACCACAAATATAACGGCACCCAGTAAGTGAGTAAGTGAAAAATACCATCCTCATCATTTACCTGCTGCTTCTCCTCACTGACTTTCAGTTGGCTGTTGTGTTACAGATTCAGGGACACCAGTCATGGGCTCACTGGAGGATTCACTCTATAAAAAGCTAAAGGTTCAAACCAAGGTCAGTGTCAGTATTCATCTATTTTGATGGCACAATCATTGGAAGGTTTTTAATCAAAAATTCACTGCTTGTGGATTAAATGGCAGTTTTGGGACATTTTCAGGATGATAAACCTAACAGGTCTGGCATTTCTCACATAACAAATCATAAAGTCTTCATATTTGAAAAAAAATGATGCACTATACAATATTTTGTCAATCAATACAAAAAAAATGAGAGAGCAAAATATGCCCCAGAAGGTGGTATTAATGCTGAAGGCTTGAACCTTAGGAGACACAGCTTGCAGTACTGTAATGGAGCAGTGGTGGCACTAGGGGGCGCTATCAACTAAGTAATGTCTTGGAAACATAAATAAAATAGATTCAGACTGACTGAGGAAGAGAGAATATGGAAAACGGTGTAGAGAGAGTTGCACTTAATCGAAGGTATAAGATTTAGAAGCAAAATCATTATTTTCACATTCACAGTTTTTTTCATTTAGTTAACCATCTGGGACTAGTTTCTTAAAGGGATAGTTTACCCCCAAAAATTGTCATCAATAACTCACCCTCATGTCATTCCGAACCTGTATGAGTTTCTGTCTTCTGTATAAAAAAAATATATAAAAAAAATAAATATATATATATACAGTATATATTTTAAAGAATGTTGGTAACAGTTGATGGGCACCATTGACTTCCATAGTAGGAAAAAAATACTAAAGTTAATGGGGCCCATCAACTGTTTGGTTACCAACATTATTTAAAATAAAAAATTTTGTGTTCAACAGAAGACAGAAACTCAGACAATAACTAGAAAAAATGTTAATTAAATAAAATTATGATTAAAGTTTCATGCTGCTTTATACTTAAAAGTTGTTTTGGTCCACTGTACACATGCACATACACGGACACCAGAACAACACATCCAAAATCATGAGCATTAAATACTGTTTGGTTCCTTTGGTTTCTTAGCAGTTTCCACTCTTCCGGGAAGATGTTGTAACATGGTTGTGTGTATTTGTTCCCATTCAGACACAAGCGTCAGTAAATTCAAGTAGTGGGGTCTTGTTTCCAGTCAACATTCAAATTTGTCCCAAAGATGGTCAGTAGGGTTTAGGTCTGGGCTTTGTGCAGGCCATCTTTCTTTGGCATCCTATAGTGCGCTTTTTAATACACCAAATTATACTGAAAAAAATGTCAAAGAAGATTGTATGGCAGTAGGCTATGTGTGAATTTATGCACCAGTAATAAGGAAGATTTCAGATTTCATTAAAAAAAAAATCATGTTTCGAAGATGAACGAAAGTCTTACAGGTTTGGAAGGACGTGAGGATGAGTAATTAATGACAGAATTTTCATTTTTGGGTGAACTATACCTTTAAAAAAATTAACAAAATGGGTAAAAAATATTGTTTGTCTACTATTAAGATTTTGAGAGCATTGTGGCAGTGTAGAATAGCCAAACCAGGTGTCAGAAGGGGGTGTCCACACTTATGGCCATGTAGTGTACATACTGTACACATAGGCAGAATGTTGAGCTTAGGAAGATATTAGTAGTTGTGTACTCAGCTGTGTTTAATGCTTCAGCAAAACATGCCACAGATGGGAAATTGAGATGATTACAGGATAGTGCTAATTTTAAAATCTGAAAATGCGTCATTTTAAACCAGTATTATATTACAATGAAATGTCTGCTTCAAGTCGTTCCAAACCTGTCTTTTTTCTGTGAAACATTAAATATTTCAAATGAAATTCGAAATATTTCATTGTATGGACAAAAATAAAAACCTTTTCAAAATATATTCCTTTGTGTTCCACAAAATAAAGCAAGTCATATGGGTTTGAAGCGCAATCAGGTAAATTATGACAGTTGTCAATTTAAATTCTGTCTCACAGTTCATTTATAAATTATTTTTTTGCGTTGTTTATTAATTATGGTGGATGTAAATATAGGTAAATATGTTTGCTATTTATGTATTTCTCGGTGTGTGGAGATAAATAGATTAAGATGATCGGCCACCGGAGGATTATTGACAAGTAGTGAGAAGGGGTGATTAAATAAGTTCATGCTTCTTCCTACTCCTTTTTGGACATGTATAAGTTATTGTTTTCTTTTTTCTTTTTTCTTTTTTTTAACATAGTTTGTTTTTGTTTTTGCTTTCTGTTTTGATTAGTATTTGTTTGTTATTAGGTTTTTGTCATTTAGTTTTTATTGTTATTATTGTTTCTTTTACATGTTCGAAATAAATAACAAAAAAAAT